TATTATTATGTTTTTTTTCCATCTTCGTTCAAAGTTTATACGAAGGTAAATCTTTCGGGTTTCCCTTTTCATTCGAACAAGCTTTGCTTTGACCCACGACCATGACATCCCGGAGAAAGAGAGCCACTTTAGTCGAGTGTGGGGCCCTGCAACCTGCCTCCGCCTCACAGCCAGTACGCCTTTTCCATATTGAACTACGAGATGCGAGGTACGCAAACACGAGTGTCCCACAGGAGGGAGGGAGTGATCAATTGCAGCTTGGGTGTCATCCCTTTTCAATCATTCTGCGTCAGCTCCGTTTTGCGGGAGCTGAATCATTGGTTTGGAAGAATTTTCTGTACTGCGTTCTATAGCCCCGCCCACGTCCCTTATTAAACACAAACCTGAGAACAATTTTCAACATGAGGATAAATGTAGCTCCGAAATCGAATAAGTCACCTTTGTCTTACTTATATTATAAGCATATTAACATCCACCTCAAGCTAGTTCCTGGGGCGCATTGAGTATGCGCCCCAATAGGAGGAAGGGTTCCGGGTAGGTGAAGACACAGTTCGGTGATTCCAATAGGAATTCCTTGTCCTTCGATGATTGTGCACATATAACATTTAAGTGAGTGAGCTCCCATCTCATCTCATCAGACTTATGTTTATTTGCGACTGACTGAAAAATGACGGGCTTCGTACGAACGATGAATACATGGTGGCTCACCAAGGTCACGATTTTTGCACTGCTACTACTCTTGAGTCCTCAACATGTCTTGGGAGCACCTGCAGCTGTATCAAATTCAACAGGTCGCCGACGTATCAGTATCAATACCTCCTGGCGTTTCTCTCGCTTCGCAATCAATCCCGACTCCCTCTCTTATGCGACACTAAAACCTTACATGCTTCCCTCTGGCAACGACTTTATCCTCGCCGGCACCCAACACGCCCGTCCTTCCGGGACAGCTCCAGGAAGTAGTATTACCTACATCCAGTCTTCATTCGACGACAGCACTTGGGAAACCGTGACTCTCCCCCACGACTGGGCGCAAAAAGGCCCTTTTAATGCGCCTGGAATCTCGGGCGGGATGGGGAAAAAGCCCACCAACGGAGTGGGATGGTATCGCCGTATTGTTACCATGGATGCTTCAGACAAGAGCAAATACACATTCCTGGATATCGATGGCGCAATGTCTTATGCATCAGTTTGGCTTAATGGCAACTTAGTGGGAGGTTGGCCGTATGGCTATGCTTCGTTCCGACTTGATTTGACGTCGTATATGAATGTTGGGGATAACTTGCTTGCTATTCGGCTTGATAATCCCGTCGATTCTTCGAGATGGTATCCGGGCGCTGGGCTTTACCGTAATGTCTGGCTTGTTACAGTTGATACCATACATGTGGGGCAGTATGGCACGTATGTGTATTTCTTAGCCCCAAATCTTCTCTTTCAGGTGTCTGTGCAGCCCGTTTTTGCACCAGAAATGTTGACTGAGTCAAGAAAATGGTGAAAAGTTGTTACTCAACCAATGTTTTTCTCTAATTAGGTGAAACTGACTCTGGGACCATCTAGTTTTATCACAACACCATCTGTCTCCGCCCAAACGGCCACTATAAGCCTGGCGGTATTCGTGAATAATAAAGGGACCACCAGTCGAGATATTGAGGTGCTGGCCGAAGTGTATGAGATCGATTCAGCAACGGGGAAGGCTGGTGCAGCTGTTGTTGCGGCATTCCCAGCAGCAGCAGCAACTATGGCAGCAGGCTCAACGTCTTCCATCGACAGTTCAGCCATGGTGACCAACCCACAGCTATGGGGACCACCTCCAGCGCAGACACCCAACCTGTATGTTGCCCGAACCACCATTTCTGCTAATACACTGTCATCGATACTTACGAAACTAAACTCGGCATCCGCACTGTAACGTACGATGCAAACAAAGGCGTCTTGATCAATGGCAACGCTGTGCGTATCCAGGGGACAAATAATCACCACGACCAAGGCTCTCTTGGAGCTGCCTTCCACATCCGGGCGGCTGAGCGGCAGCTGCAGATGTTGCAAGACATGCGATGTAACGCGCTCCGAATGTCACATAATCCACCAGCCCCTGAATTGCTAGAAATCGCTGATCGGCTAGGGTTTATGGTTCTCGACGAGATTTTCGACTCTTGGACGAGCTCCAAGACGACAAACGACTTCCATACAATTTGGGCAGACTGGCACGAGCCAGACCTTCGATCATTTATCCACCGTGATCGTAACCATCCTTCTATCATCGCCTGGAGTTTCGGCAACGAGATTGTTGATCAACAGGAGAGCTCGATGGGCGGCACCGTGGCCCAGCCAATGCATGACTGGATACACGCCGAAGACGGAACGCGGCCAACCACATCTTCCATGAACATCGCCACCGCGGGCAGCTCCTTTGCCAACGTTTAATTAATTCGACGCGGAATAAATAAACTCGT